AAGATTTCTATAAATTTGCATGCTTTTTCCTTAAGTCCAAATTGATTGGTCGTCAGATATATGTTCACGATTTATATTCATATATTATTTTATATTCTTAAATAAAAAGAACAATTTTGTGTTGCATATTTTAGCATATTTTGAACATAACACATAAACTTTCATATATGTAAATTGTTTAGAATCTCGTTAATTTTAAATGGTATTTATTAAATATATTAATTTTTTTTTTGTTTCTGACACCACGTCATATATAGTTAAAGCCGCCTATTCTTTGACTATGTTATTTCCTAATATAAACCTTTTAACGTATTTAGAACTTAAGATTTATAGAATTAGCGAATGTTTACGAAATTAATAATCTACTATTGATAAATTAATAGCGACCATTAAAAAAGGATTTAAAAAACTCTCGTCGAATTATCAAACTATGTAAAATTATTCCTGGTTTCACTTTTACCACTCCAAGCAATAATAACAAGATAGAGATATGCAGTATAATATTATTTAAATAATTTGATTCAATGAAATCTGTAATATTTGACGAAGCAGATTAAAATCAATTACAAATGCAAAATAATTATTTGAAGACAAAAATTTAAAATATGATTTAGCTTATTTAATAAATAATTTTTGTTTTCTTAACAAAACAATTATTAACTTAGATAAAATTACTTTATATCTCGAGGAGAGTTTAAAAATTATTTTGAATGTGAAAGATAAACTGTATAGTTGTAACTGAAGAGAATCAGAATTGGTAAAAACTAAAATGGACTTGATACTAAAAAAGAATAGGGTATTTAAAATTTTTTTAAAAATTTGTAGAAATTGAACGGTATATGAAACGGAAGAAAAATATGTTAATATTATCTTAAATCCGGGAAAAATCGCGTAATTAAAATATGCTCAAATAATATTGTGTAATATGGAATGAAGTTTCAGCTAATATAAATATATTCTTCAATGTAATAGTTGGTCGTTAATATTTGAAAATTTGAAACAACATATAATAATATAAACTAATATTTAAAAAATTAGTATGATAAATTTGGACTTCTAGTGTTTGAGTAATTGGCACTTATGGTTTTTTAGATTTAACATTTCTTATTTATGAATATTTAATTTACTACTTTTATTGAACCTGCATAAGTTGTAATTTATTGGATGTTGGATGGACAAAAGAAAGACTGTGATTTGAGAATAGTATTTGAGGACGAAATTATGAGATATAGTCAGCGTATATATAATTCGACTATGTAAATATTATTTTTTCACACGTATAGTTTATTTACATATTTTAGCATCTGTGCGGTTAAATATTACAATATCCTTATGTTTCATCATTGGAAAATGATAATGTGCCATTTAACATTATGTGTTTTCGCTGTTGTACTTTCATGGATTTTAAATAGATTATTGATGAACATCACCATATAACGGATTTCATAAAACTCTTAAAAAATGTGTTAAAATCTTCCTTAAAATGTATTCAGCCATAAAAAATCTGTATACTATTTGGATAATATTCAACGTCATATACTTAATTCAAACGAAATATAATATAATAGTGATATACTTTGGACTTTGATGTGTTTTAAAATTATGTCACATTTTGTAAGTTTTTTTAATTCTAGATTGTTCTACAAGATTAAAAAGAATAAAGTAGTACATAGTTCTTGCATTAATTATATAATAGTTAACTATAAAATAACTATATAACAATTACTAGAACCATCTATTGTATAATAATAATTCTATATTTTTAAAGGTTGACATAGGAATTATATGTAACCTTGTTGAAATGTCTTTTAAAAGTATGGATTAGATATCTTTCTGTAGAAAATAACAAAAACAATATTAAATTATTACTCCAACTATATTTTTATAAATACAAATTTTATGTCAATAATTGGTACACATAAATTTAACGAAATCCCCATTTCTTCTGTATCAAACAAATAAAAACGAAAATATTTTTGTGTTTAGGAAATAAAAAAAAATTGGTTTAAAAACTAATAATATATGTATAATCTCATAATCACGTCCACAGAGAAAAAAAAAATTCTCTGAAAACGAATAAATACAATATTGACATATCTAATATTGTAAGTGACTATGGAAGTTGGTAATAAGGTCTAAATAATCTTTTATCGGTAAATTGGGTCCCGGGAAATAAAGGGTAGTAGGTTAAGTTCAAAGTAAACAATTTTTTTTTTTAAATATCTAATAATTTTTATTAGACGTCAATTTTAATATTATTATGTTTTTTATTACATTTTCGATAAAAACTTAAAATATACGTACAGTACGCAATGCACGCTACGAAAAATATAATGAAAATGCTCAAATTTTGTACACTCGTATCTGTGAATAATCATAAGAACTATCATCAATATTAGTGTTAACTGATAACTGACACATAATATACAACAAACTAATGTACGTATATGTCTATATACGTATCTTAATTAGACATAATCAAAGTTACATCGTTACGAAGTTATTTGATCACAATGGAATCGATAACCGAAAGAAACAAAGTGAATTGTCTTTTCTAAAACGACTACGGTGAGATAGTATAGTTTATAGTTGGAACTCAATTTACCTACTACCTTTTTTTTCCTGGGACCCAACTTACCTAATATTTTTTTTTTTTTACCAGGACTCAATTAAAATAAATAAATTAAAATTAAGTTCACAGTTGATAATTATTATGTATTGCTATGGTTTTTCTATGAAGTGTCATGATGTTTTATTATAATCATTTTAATGGAATCTGTACAAAACTTATGTTTTATTCTGTTCTTTTATTACTATCAGTATACCATACTCGAACAGCTTAACTGTCAGATATGGAATGACATTCTCATTCCACCGATATGGTTTGCAGATTTGGAATGCTGTCCCATTGCACGACTAGATTTGTAGGTTTATGTTTAAACCTATGAACTTTCCTGTGATTATGATCTGTCTTCGATCTCTTAACATGTTACAAACATGTTTTGTCATTCCCATGGATTTAAAAACAGTATAGATTGTTTAGTTATATATAACTTGATATTTCTACATATGTTTACAAAATCATAATATTATAATAATAGTTTTACGTATTTCGTTTGATGTGTTCACGATAAAAATTATTTGACGTTGTATCTGAGTTATCCACTTGATTCAGTAAAATATATTTATTTATAAAAAAAAAAAAAAGAAGATTGTTACTTGCTATGACTGCCGTTGTGTAAGGAACTTCAAAAATAATTCAGAAAAATCGAAAAACAAGAGTAAAAAAAAAAAAGTTGATTGAACAAAGAAACTAAGAAAGTAATGTAACGTGTATTTACGTATTTTGAAAACAATTCAAACTGTAGCTGTATGAAAATATATTGCATAATAATTGGTTGATCTCACTTGAAGACTTAAGAAAAGTTAATACGATTTTAGTATTCAATAATCAACAAATTAATATTTATTATTATAATGCGTATATCATTCAACATTCAAAAGTTGTTATTGGTATTAACATATAGATTCTTCTCTCTGGATTTTTGCAAGTCATAACCGCTATGTATTTGTATAGCTGCAATTTGTACGACTAGGTAATAATAATTCCATACTTCCTAGACTTTAGGACTCTCTATTAATGTATATTTATTATGCGTTGCTGATAAAACAGAAACGCGATTATGTGTTGTTTGTATGTTATTATTATTTAAGTTATTATGATTTCTAGGTAGTTATCATTAGCAATATTATGTTTTACATAGTGTAAAAAAAAACATAAACAAGAAATAAATATCATTCCCGAATTGAACTTATTGGTCTTACATTCCTATACATAATTTAATCATTAATTTATATGTTTTACTAATCAATCAAATTCTGAAACATGTTCAAATTAGCATTTTTATAGGGTTACATTTAACCATAAATGCATATAATCATCATAACAGGATAAATTAGAACACGATAAATACTAATTTTAGATTTTGGAAGGCCTGTGGAAATATTTTGTAGATTTACAGACATAACATAGATTTATTTAAATTTAAATATTGGTTTAAAATTATGCATAAATGAGTGTTGAAATTCATAACCTAATATTAATTTTAGTCTTTGTGATATACTCTAGAAAATAAACGTTACCTATTAGATATTTTTCAAAACAATGTTTTCACTACATTTCTATAATCCATAATCAATTATAATAAGTGAATATTAATTATCTAATTCGTATAAATTTTAAAGCATTTTCTACTGAATCACGAAAGTTAATAAATTATATACTCGTATCATTGATAATATGTTGTTGAATTATATTTATTTATAGCCGAATAATTTTATTTATAAGATTAAGCAGAAACAATATTTAGACAAAATGTTTTAATTTGTACTGGTCCTATGTGTAACATTCAGGTTTTTAAAAAAACTTATATTGTTTTCATTATTAGCAACAATAAAAATTCTATACCGGTATTATTAGACATTAATGTGCAGTGAAAAATCCTTCAACTGATGCGAATGGCTGTTAATCTTTCTCGGATAGAAAAATTCAACTGAAGAATGTGAACAGGTCATATCTTTACGATTTCCAAAATATCCATTGTTATTTACAATATGGGATACGTGTGTTCAGTTATTTTACGTAAATTACCGGTCGAATTGGAAAAAAATACGATTCTCATCCCACCTGCTCGGAACGCGTATTCGAGAGGATGATGGTTACTAATATCTCAAGTTGAAACATTACCAACACCACGAACGGATTGACTACGACGCAGACGCTACACGGGACGTTCATTCATGATGTACCTCAATCCGCTCGTTCAACACAACCCGTACACGGTAGCTCGACCCTTAGGAGACGTCCATCGTGCACGCGTATAGGAACAATATTTCATAAAACCTATAGCGAACCGGACGTGCGTTGACGCGTTACGGTCGTCGGACGTCGACGGTTGAAACGTTGAGATCCCGCGGGACGCCTATCGCGGTCGGCTCACCTCCAAGATTTTGTTGTGTATCATTCTCGGGAAAGCGAACCATCCGATGAAAACGCCCATCGAGAGGAACACGATACCGGTAACGGTAAGCGTGGTGGGCGCGCCCATGCCGGCGGCGGTGTTTCGCCGAAGACCGAACGTTTTCGTTAGCAGCCCGCGAGGACCGCGCGATCCGTCGCCGTCGTCCCGATAACCGCGCCGGGCACCGTACGAGCGCACAACCGAAATACGTCCGCGGGTCGTTTCGCGCGAGTCCGACCTGTCGTCACAGTCGCCCGGAACACGCGACACGATGACGTTAAGCACGTCCGTACGACTACTGCTCGAGCCCCCCCCCCCCCCCCCCCCCCGACCGATTCTCCGACGAGTCGACCCCGGGCCACCAAGGTTTCCGTCGATCGCGTGGAATACGGTATTCGGATACGGTACGACGGGCGTACGTCACGCGCGCACGCACACGGTATCATCCGCGTAACCCGTCATTATGTTTTTAACCCGTTCCCTCCGACCGAACCCGACCGACGGCACCGCATTAATACATGATAACACGTTGGCCCGCGCTCGCGCCCGATCACTACTGGCCCCGTGTTATTAATTATTACGCGCGTCCGACAGTGCGTATTCGTGTGACGTCCCGGTGCACTATGTATCGTTTTCGCTCCGCGTCCTAGATACACGTCCGTCGCTTTTTATTTGTCTTTCTTCGAGTCGCCTCCAGTCGATAATGGGTGTGTACGGTGGTGTGCGTGTGCGTGTGTGGCGGTGAACTATTTTCCGAGTAAGGGACGGCTAAATATTGATGGGCCGCCCGAACGCACGCCCTATCCGAAGGATATGTTATATGCTACCGCGTGTCCAGCCAAGTCCGAGTTAAAATAACTGACGAGCAACACGCTGTGTATATATTACACGAACCATTTGAAGCTGCTTTCGACACCCTTATAACTCAAAAACTATTTCAAATTGTCAAATTTAGCTCATTTATTGAAACTTGCGAGATATGCACGTGCTCTAGATTTCATAAACACACCACAAACGGTTGTTTAGATATTAATGTCCGAAAATCGTCATTTTTATCACCGACTGAACTTTTTTTTTTCCGTTTTGAATCGAGGACCAAGCGGATACTGTTTTTCACATTACTGCCGCTCCTTTATTATAAACAACAAATAATGTATACATACTGGTCCCTTTACCGCGCAATTAGACAATCGAAACGTCAACTAGAGTGGGACCGCGACCACATTACATATTAATTAACGTTCCTTGATCAGCCATGATCATTATCTTCCTTTGGTTCCATGGTAGTTTGGGTTAAACGGTATGGGCGGTGGCACCTCCACCGATCTCGCTGATCGAGTTGACCCTTGGTTAGTACGTTTACCGTTCGTTTGTTGACATTTTTCGTGGTCCGGCTCACAAGACCCACCGACCTGGTCGTCGTCTCCTATGTGCCATTCGCTGCGCTTCCCGATTGATGAACAGGGTCGTATCTACCATTTCCGAGAACGCCCGCCTTCTTCTTAACCATGCTGCTAGAAGGTGAGCGTATCGATCGGGATCGTCTTTCATTCTGAGCATATCACGGCGTCCGCAGAGCAGTTCGTCCACGTCACCGGGAAGAGGGAACCTTCCGCCGGTGAACTGCTTCATGACTAGCCGGTGTTCATCCCAGTGAGGACACTCGAAGATGGTGTGTTCTGCGATTTCGTGTTCGTCGTCTCAGTAAACGCAGGTGGCGTTCGGGCCCTGTTCATCCTGTGTAAGAAATGGCGGAAACATCCGTGTTCCGTCAGAGACTGGGTAGCCGAAAGGTGTGCGTGTTGTCTGATCTCCTTAGTAGTGATGGGAATTATTCGAATATTTGAATATTCGATGCTACAAAACAATACGTTACGAAAATTATTCGTTTAAGTTTTCACGCAACACAAAACGTTTAATAACAATACTTAATAGCTTATGATGCATAAAGGCTTGTGAGAAGTGAATTCGAAGCCAACGATATTTACTATTTGACAGAGAAATTAAAATACAAAAATAAAAATTGCGCAAAATACTCTAATATTATAATTAAATTATTATTCATACAGTATAAACTATAAATCACTATAGCGAGCATCGTTTAGAACGAGATACTGCTTACAACAAGCAAATCGATAGGTCCCGGCACGGCACATATGATTGTATATTAAAATATACGTCTACTGTTATTACGAGTTATCGGCTATAAAGAGTAAAATAAAGCTTACTACAAACAGGTACCTGTAATATAAGAGCTATTTTCATATTTAAGTTGATTAATCATTGACATACATTATCTTTAATTGTGTAGATATGCAGGGCCAGTGAAAGCTATAGGCGACCTGGGCGATTGCCCAGAGCGCCAGTGAGAAAGGGGCGCCAAACTGACATTATATTTTTCTAATTTATCTTTTAATACGTACTAAAAACCTACAGAAAGTAAGAATATAACAGTTGTGCCTTCTACTTAAATACTGCATCGATATCGCTGGTTTTGATGTAAAAATAATGCATGTAACAATACTGCATATCACCGCATTTGTTTGTGTAAATAAAATATATATTTAGTTCGTAAAAATTATTTTCAAAAAATATCTACCCGTTTATAAATAGATACATATTACTAAATGATTACGTAAAAATCGTTCGGGCCTTATGGCAAAAATACCGCAGTGTGGCGTAAATCAAAAAGACACAGTTGCCTGAAACGCACGCACAATTTATTGTTTTCGACGAACTCTCTACGTACGATCTGTTGTGTAATGTCAAATGTATAAACTTACAAGTTACAGTCGACAGGTAATAAATATTCATATTTTTTGTTTAGTTGATTTTTACATAATATTTTGGTTTCTTATTAGTCATTTACAATGAATTCTGTTCTCTGGTTATCTTAATAAATAAGTAATTAGTGAAACATAGTATTTTTATATTATAGGTAGTGTCGCATGATTTAATATATTCTCCAAAAAAACTTTCAAGAATTAAAAAAAAATCCCAAGCTCAAAATTAAAACTATTATATTCTTCCAACGAAAAATAAAAAATCTGTCCAAAAATGCACTGATATAATACTAATTTATAGTACTAAATACATACAAATTTTATTTAAATTTACTAAAAAACTTAATTTTACTATTACTCAATATAAGAGGATTGGATAGGGGAGGTTTAAGGGTGCCAATACTTTTAGCACCGGCCCTGTAGATATGGATTATTTATTAATAATATATAATATAAAAAGCTTGTCATGAAAAAACTGATAAAACAAATTAGGTATTGTAGCATCGAATACTGATATTCGAATTATTTACGATATACCTATTCGAATTCGAATATTCGATTATTCGAATATAAATTACATTAGTGCTCCCCAGCCACCACTTAACGTTTGGGATCAGATTGACGGTCCACCTGATCGTGGTGACCCTATCTTCCCTAGTCTGCCATGCATTTATAATGATATCGCGCTCCTGCCCCCTTAGTTCTACAACGGTTGTCTCCCGGGTATCTTCTTCAAGGCGTTTTTCCACTCGCATGAAAATCCACCGGTACCACGGACGCCAATAGCAGTGCGCCCTCTGTTAGGATGGTCCTGTATGCCCACGTTGTTTTTATGGCGACCTGTCTCTGTGGACATGCCATTGCTGCTCTGTTTTTGGCCCCTGAAGACGAGACATAGAGCAGCTAACCAAGCCTAGCAATTTACATTTCGACGTTGACGAGCTTCTGAGGTTAAGCATGAAGCACCCTACAGCCAACGTGGACTGTAAGGCGCTGGTAAATACCCTAGCCACGTGCGCGGTAATAGATATCAGAAGGTCGAGTTTGACACCTAGATATCTGATAGACATGTGCACGGATATTGGGTGTCCATGCAGTGTCAGTCTAGGCTTCTCGTAGTGGTTTTTTCGCGCTAGAACCACCGCCTATGTTTTTTCTGTTGATCCACGAGACTGATTTGAAGGCGTTACGTACGTCCAGGGAGACCATGGCATAGATGTCCCGGTGTTGAACCGCTCCCGTGGCTGCGCCTTTTGCCACCTTGATGACCCTGTTTATAGCGTCGACTGTGGAGTGCCCCCTCCTGAAGCCGTGTTGTTTTTCGGACCTCTGCCCTGTTCGATCTAAGTGGTCGTCCAATCATGCCAGAAGTAGCCACTATCACCGACTGACCTATAGATCAAAACTCTAACCCAGTTCCATATGACCTAAAAATTTCAAATTTGGCATACAGATAGGTCATTGGGTAATTATAAGGGAATGAATCAGAAATTAGTGATGTTTTATAATTTTATTATAATTTTTCAATTAATTGGTTCTATTAGGAACACTTAACTTACTCATGGTTCCAGTAATATAATGTAATAAAATTGTATGTAAAAATCTTACGGTTATAAATTAGAGACCCAACAGGATAAATAATTGTAAATAAAATTACAATTAAAAATATATTCAAAATCTAATAAAATAATTTTAATTTTTTTTAATTTTTCTGTGTTCTATAGCAAGGATGCGTAACTCAAAATTACTATAAGGCCAAAATTGCAATATAATTTAAGTAAAATTTAATTTACGAATTAGAACTAGTTAAGACCAAATTTCAGATATTAAGTAATATATATATATTCGCAGGAAACAGTTCCCTATTTGCTTAGCATATGCTATTATTATTCACAAATCACAAGGTCTTAGTCTTAATAGCGCTGTTCTTAAAATAGGCTCCCCTATATTTAGTAAAGGGCAGGCTTACGTTGGACTCTCCAGAGTTAAAACCTTGGATGGAGTAAATCTTATTAATGTAGGTCCAAGTCAAATCAAGGCACAAGATAGCTCTATTGTACTATCTGTGTAACCGTTGTATCTTTCTTCAACGATATATTGTTTTTCTAAGCCGAGTTTTTCAATTATCTGCATTATTATTTTAAATAGACCCTCACCAGTTAAATTATCTGCTACTTCAAACTCGATAAAATTGTCATTCATACACTATGTGGAAGTATCAATATAAATCACACAAATCGTCATTTGTGCCAATTTTAAAATATCTTGACAAATAAAATGTTAGTGTTACAAATTATATACTGTAGTATGTCATTATGACTGCATACTGCAAACGTACTTTTGATTTCTTAAACTAAAGTAATAAAAGTAAAAAGTACAATGTTTGATGAAATATTATCGTGGTAATTTTAAAAATTATTTGCGTTTTTTTCTGTGTCTTATATTAGTGTATATTGGAACATTGACTTTTGCGCAATAAATGTAGTATACCTAATCATAGAATCACAAGTTGAAAATATGTAAAGCAAAAAAAAAATAAAACATTATTTGTTATTGATGATTTTATATTTTATTTTCAATAGTATATTAAAAGGTGGGCTTGTTGAATACTCATTAAGTCTTATGTTAGATTAAATAGTGGACATAAAGTTATATTCCGTAAGATAGATCAAAATCACGACAAATATGAAAAACAAAAATTAAATAGACAGCATTTTTCGACAAATTTATCGTCGAAATAATATTGCTGACTTCGAACAAGCTATTCATTCAGCACTTTTAGTTTTTTTTTCCTAATACAATAAGAAAAGGATGTTGTTTTGTTGTTTTCACTTTTGACAGAGCTTATGGAAACAAATTCAATCAGTAGGTTAGGTCAGTTAGGTCGGTACTAAACTAGTTTAGTATGTATTTTTATTCAGAGTCTTGGGACCGAAGGCTGGATGATACTGTACGAATGATTTCAAATGACCAATGTAAATAGGGCGACTCATACCCAGTAAATTCATGCTTGAACTCGTTTGGTCACAAATATTCGTATTCGTTCGTGTTCACGCCAAAATTTAAACGCACCTTAATAAAAATACCCAAATAAAGTATATTATTATAACGCTTAATAGATGACGGAAATTTTAATCTACAGAATTATAAACTACAATAATGATATTAGAACAAATAATATGACAAACATTTTATTTTTCTTCCTCATTGACAGAAACCACTTAAGTTTCGATACTTTTTAAAAACATTTAAACGTTTTAACAAAATTTCCAGGGTGGAGGGTTTCAGACCCCTAAAACTCTTTTACCCAGTATTACAATAAAATAATAATTAAAAATTATAAATAATGTTATGTCTGCAATAATATTTTGGTATAAACTTATTTATATAAGTGAAGAGCTATTTCCGTAATGCAATATGATTTTAATATGAGTACTTAATTGACATATTTTCTCACCCCTTGGAAGTATTAAAATTATCACACACATCATGAGTCAGATAGAGACGTATAATTTATCTTGAAGTATTAATATAGGCATTTAATTTATTACATTCACTATAAAAAGATTTTTTAATTGCCTTAGAATTTCAAACAGGGATAATGAAATTAGTTTTTACGAGAACTGTTTATAGAGTATTGTATTTTAAAATCTGTGAATAGTATATTTGTAAAGTATAGTTTTATGTATATATAATATGTATATATATATATATATATATATATAAATTTATTATTGGCTGCAATATAATAATACTGCATAAAAGCCAATAACAACATATTTTTTTATCTACTAATAATAGCTTCTCAAATTTATATCTGCGATATTCTGAAGCTAATGGATTTCCAGTTCGAACAATAACTGTGTACTACCTCCTTATCATGAATAACAGTATCGTGTAACATATATAATAAATCTAATTCGATTGACTTTTAGATAGTGAATTATTATAATTTAAAATTATTAAAATAATGTTAATATCTATATTTTTCTTTGTCTGTAGTGTACATATAATCGTATTATATATGTATTTACTGTAAATTTAAGTAGCCTGGACTGAATTGGACTAAATTGTTTATAAAAATTATTAGATGAATTCTGAATACGATTTTCTACATGAAATAGGCAATAATTAGGTAGTTATACATTGTAAAAAAATCCAAAGAAACCCTATGCATTAAATGGGGATTAAAATTGTGAATTATAAATGTAAATACTCCAGTACAGTATATTTATAAAATGTAATTTTGATTTGGATACTCCATGAATACCATATGGACAATTACTGCTTGCACTATTAATATCTAGATACATTCATAAACATATTGCAACATAAACTTTAGTAACATTAATATTGCTAATGATGTTACTATCCAGATTTAATTTTGATGGTTTCATTGTCATTGCTGGATTAATCTTTAGGTAGTTAGGTACTATCACTGTTCGTATATTTTGACGAGATTGCAAGTTTTAGTCTTGCAGGATGAAATTAAATAAATACACAATTCTTGTGAGCATTTTAACTATATTTTATACAAATATTTATGATATTGTAAAATAGTAGTTTATACCGCACCAATAGTGACAAGAGATTTCATGTTGTAAAATTAAATTAAATTTACATTAACTGAAACATGAATGTTTGGATAAAATCTATCAAAAATCGTGCGCTGTGTAAATATGTATACCTGCACCATGTGTTTATACATAATGCATTGTAAATATAACCTTTTTAATAAAATATCCAATGGATAAAATCAACAAAATGGTATTTTTTGGAAACAATGAGGTATTCCAACCCTCATATTATTTTCTTGGAAGATATTTACGAGTATGAGCAGAGCAGGATTTTGGCCTAGGCTGGTAAAATTTTATATATGGATAAATGTATTGTATCGAAAAAATATTATTTATTTTAATTTTTAAAGATCGCTTATTAAAAATTGTTTGGATTTCGGTTATACTTTTTTTTCTCAATATTTTTTTGTAAGATATCGGCTATTATAATTCAAATAACATTATATGTTTATTTCGACGAAAAACTTTGTAAGAAATTGTATGTATGTAAAAAAAAAATATATGCATTTTATTCGTGATTATGTTTATAACTTTATTTCAATAATCATTATGTAGTGAACCTGTTGAATAGGCTAACTAGATTATTTAAATAAAATAACACAGCGACGATTTGAATTACAATATAATATTTTAATAATTTCTATTATTATTATTCTATCCTATTATTCTATTATTAGTTTGGACATCAGTTCTTCACATACAGATTACCTTAGTCATTAACAAGAACAAAATAAAAAATGAGGCCCCAAGTAATATATCGGTTATCCTTATATACTAATATTTTATTAACTAATCAACACAATCCATATTATTTGGTTAATTGCAAATGCGATTAATCTATTACAAAGGTGATTTATATTATTATACAATCTTTAATATTACATATATCACGTGATATTACAATTATTTAATCAAATTGGTTTTATTATTTTATTTTCAATAATTCAAATTTACCTTTTTTCATCGCAGGAAGGGATAGAGGCATTGGATGGAGGAGCAGCAAATTATATCAGGACCTATGGCGGCATCTGTGAGGAATCTCGTCCTATTTATAAGTATTCATACGACAAATGCATATTGTTTGTTATTGTTTGTTACTAATATACTCTTCTACTACGTACATGTACATATTCTAACATTTTATACGGGATAATTTACCAGTTACTTTGAATTAAAAAAATTCACGTTTGAATAGATGTATTGTGTACATAAAAACGGATTTTCGAGGATAGATAAAATAACTAATTTGTGTATTATAAATATACATATATGTTTTTATTATAGATCGAACGAATTCTACACTTTAATAAATTAATTACATAATAATATAATATAATAATTATACATGATTATAAATTTTGAATCCCGCGACGGATATTGACTACCACAGTGGTCGGACGGTTAGTCGCCGTTACAGCGTGACAGTTAGGCACGCGGGTATCGTTCAGAATCTGCAAAAAAGATTTAAAAATATTAATTATAATATCAATAATACTACAAAAAGGGGCAATTTATGGATAACTCGATACGTTAATTATTATCGATGACAAAGGACTTTCGACGAAAATACGTCGTACACGTTGAGATTGGGTTTTAAAGTTCTCAATGGGATTTTTTCGAGTTTTAATAAAAAAAAGGAAATTCTCACGGTGATCGGCTACGTGTTGGAGAAACGTTAAAGCGAACTGTCTTTGTTACTCACGTCATGTTTTGGATGTCGGGAGTCCGTTCAACGACGGTGGTAGTAGACCGGATGGGCAGCCGCGTAGACCGGATGGCTGGCCACCACTGCGGGGTGCGAGATGCTAACGCTGGAGTAAGAAGTGGCGGCGGCCGGTGCGTGGTAGACGGCTGGTGCGTGGTAGACGGCCGGTGCGTGGTACACAGGTGCGGGTGCGTGGTACACGGCCGGTGCGTGGTAGACGGCCGGTGCGTGGTACACCGGTGCGGGCGCGTGGTACACGGCCGGGGCGACGATCGGCGCGTGGTAGGCGGCGGCTGCGGGAACAGACGAGAAACAGATTAATGAATCGCAAAAGTACCCCTGAGACGGACGTAGTCGATGCGATTTAACGGCCCTCGGGAACACGCAAATCGAATACGATGTTAACCGTAATCGAACGGCGAACAAAGCAACGTGGATTGCAGTCGAAATTCTCCGGTGAGTTAAAAACCCGCCCGGGAACCCAGCACCGTATCATAGGTACGAGTTAAACGTTTTCGAAGCGCTGGCACGTTGGACGCGATAAAATATCGGGGAAAAAAAACTAGAAGTGACGAGTGGACAGTGTCCACTAGACACCCCGGAAGAGGATAAGTCACGACCGGCCTCTGCACCATCGACGACCGATTCGCAACATCGTTAGCTGCCCCCCCGTACTCACCGAAAATGGCACGTTTGTCCTTGACGGTCTCGGTCTTGGCGGCCGCGTCCGGGGCCACAGGGGAAGCGGCGGCGGCGGCGACGAGCAAGAAAGCGATCAACACCTGCGGGAACAGAGGAATAGAAACTGGTTAAAAAACGTGACGGCGACGACTGGTCGTCGACCGGACTTACTGTGAACTGCATGGTCGATGGATGGTCGGCGACTGGGGTGAGTACGACGGTGCGAAGAGATTACTGGGATGTTTGCTCGAGATGAACAAGACGATGACTGATGACTTTAGACGCTGGGCGCACAACTTTTATACTTCTTTGGGGGCCCGGCAACGCGTGGCTCCCTCCACGCGCGCGATTATTTCGCAAAGTTGATTTTGTCGCCGCGTCCGAAAACGGTTCGCGTCGGCAACCGATCGCCCCGTCCCGTTGCCGCCGCTCGATGACGAAAAGAGTAAACACTCTACAAACGGCAGTGTTATTGTTGCGCCGGGCGTATAAGGTCAGCGACGACCGTCGCCACTGCGCGCGAGAAAGTACAAGTGTGCGCGCCTGAACGCGTAAAAGGAATGCGTGCGCATGCCGTGTTATGCGCGTGCCGCGACCTCGAGACCCAATAACGCCTTTTGATCCGAACCGGACCCTACAGCAGCAGGTTCTCCGGTCGCGCCTACCACGCGGGCCCGGTCCGGCGCCCCGTAATCCCGATCGTCACGTTCACGTTCGGCCACACGTAGCGGTTGTGCGGGTTGACGTCGTCACACCCGTTGTACCGTTGACCGCGCGAAACGAGTCGACGTTTTTCACGCGTCGTGCTCATCGCTGACCGTTTACCAGTCATCGCATATTCGATTATGATTTCCTCGATAGAAATCAACGCATCCGATTAACCAAGTTCGGTTTCTTCTAGGTCAACATTAAACCAACGTATAGTTTTTTTTTTTTTTTTGTCTAATCATGTGTTGTTCGATTATACGTTTCAAACAACGGACCCATGAAGCCAAAAAAAGTTTAAACTATTAAGTGATACCTAATCGAAATCGTGGTAAAACTATATATTTATGATTATGAATTGTGTGTTCCGTATACGTTCATAAGTTAATGATAGTCACGAACAATTTTGAAATAATGAGTTTTAGTTTTATGTCTATTTAGTTTTTTTTATTTTATAAATATTATAAATACATAATTACTAGTTTTGATACTTCATGAATGTATTAATGTAGCTTCATCTATATATATATTTAATTAATTTGATTTATTATTCACAGTTAAATTAAGTAAATGGTGTGAAATTAATTTTTAACTCAAATGATTTTTTTTTTATTTTGCAAATTAATATAACAATAAAACGTAACCGGGCTTAACCGAGTTATTTTGATTTTATCAGAACACGTATGATACATTAACAAGTTTGTGATTTTACCCAATAACTACAACGCTTCGCTCTACCGATTCTTGCGCTTCACTTACATAATAAATTATATCCGATGTTTACATGCTAAATGTTTGTCTAAATTTATCTTATTTTAAAAAAAAAATTCTAACATTGTTATATTTTACGGGTAGTCATTATATACATTATATATTATAATAACTGTCGCCAATATTTTAACTTCATATTGTCAAGCGAAATATTTTATATGAAAATAAACCAACGTTTTATTATTCATATGGATGTATTAAAATATAATGGTAAAAGAGGTATAAAAACGGTAGAAGTGTGAATGACATGTTTTTTTACTGGTATTTTCTTCTCATTAATTATTTTACACACATTTTGAACGATTTAATAAATAATTATGCTGTATTTTTGATATTTACGAAAGTAACATCAGTTTTCCCAGAAATTTACTCAATTTTCGAGTATAAAATCAATACTAAAGGCAAGTATCTATCTGTTAGAATACAAAAATATATAAATCTTTTATTATCTTTTATATCTTGTTAGAGACTCATATTTTCTAGGATACAAAAATAATAATGTGTAATACAAAAGAGAGTCAATATTGTATTTATAATGATTTCCAACACGGGTTATTATATACTTTTTGTATTTTTCAATTATATTCTTGAAAATTTAGCTATGTATTTTTTTCTATGCTTTCTATTTGACTAGTTTTTTTTATATGAATGAATGGGTTACGAGTCTACGTCTTATTGAGTGCAAATTAAGTCATAATTATTATTTACTCATTTCATAATTAATTTTATAAATGAATTTTCAAATAATATTTTATTAATAAAACCGGTTGATGTTTATTTTCTTACGATTAAATTTTTCAGCTCAGTTCCAGATGAACTGAACACTTGAATACTATTTTAATATGATGCTTTCAATGCTTATAAAATTATTATTTTAATTTGCAGGTTATCATCACTTTAAGTTGAGTTAATTTATTAAAACATCGTTAAAAGAAAATGTTCATTGTGCACCCAATGATAATTTTTGGAATAAATTATAATAAGTTCTTTTTTAATTAAAATTATTTATGTCAAGAATAAACTGTAGTGACTTTTTATAAGATAATTTACAACTTAAAAATTAAATATTTCTCTCTCTCTTTCTCTCTTTCTCACGCATTCACTCATTTTCCCACTTAGTATATATATATATATATATATATATATATATTTAATTAGTCTTTAACAATTTCTTGTTTAAACAATACAATGTTTCAAACACCATTTTCTAATAGTCGTATAACGTAATCTCGACCAATACAGACGGCTAAACACTACCATATTCACATTGATATAGATTAATTTATATGAAATTTGTCATTATACCATCGAAATGTTTCCTGAAAAACAATATTTGATAGAAATTGAATGTGGTATTTATAAATATTTTGGTCATTTTTGCTCTTATACTTTTTTTATTTTACCTGAAATTTCAACTGAATAATTTATTGTAATTATGTTATATAAATATACATAGCAGGCTATAAATTGTAATATATATGAGTTTGAAAAAATTCATTAAGCGGCTGCCACAAAAGAAACCAGAGATCTGTATTAGTCTAGCAATGGTTTTAAATAGACAATAATCATTTTTATATTCAAGTTTGAATGAAGACAGTCTCTATAAGAGAATTCTGATGATTGTAATACGCCATAATTGTCGATCGACTTTTTCAGCAATATTTCTAATATAAAACTAGAAGCAATTTCACTATCCTTTTTTATAAAGAAACTTGGAGTGATTCAAGAATTTAATGGAATAAGTTGAAAATATTATCGATAATTTAAGAACATTATAATGAAACTCATTCTTTCGTATTAAATATTGAACGAACAATTTAAATGCAAATAAAATAAGTGTATTTTAAAACTAAAATAATTTTAAATAAAGGCAATTTAATTTAAAAAAAAAAAAATTAAATTAAATAAATACAATTATAAACTTTTACTAATAATTTGCAGGTTAAAACTGAAATATTCTTAATTGTTGACGTTAATTATTTTATTTTATAATAATTTTAATGAATTTTTATGATAATAATAATACAGGCAATGTTTTTGGAGAACTAAATCATAGCTGTAAACGAACTAGTAACTTTTATAGATTTTTGAATCAAATGCTTTTTCTGAACTGATGAAATAAACTTTACAAAGAAAGCGAGCCGTTGATTAACATCGCTCCGTGTTACTGTAATAACCCAAAAATACAAAAAATAAAATAAGTGAAGTAAGGTGAGATCAAGATGGGGGAGATGGTATATATATGAATGGCGGTGAGGTATTAATGTATTAAAGGGTTGTTACTTTCTTCCTTGTTCAAGGGAGGGCTTGAGAAGGTTCGAGAGCCGATCAGCGCAATTGTACAGTCTGCCAAGCTAAATAAAACAGCACTTACTTATTTTGCCGTAGACCTTCAGATGTCGATGCGAGATTGAAAGAAAAAGGACAAATGCAGAATTTAATTGCACTGGATCCGGATACTCTTCAATACTCGTACGAAAAATACAAGTCGAACGGATTAAAATTATAAGTCAAAATAAATTGCATAGGTATATAAACTCTTCGTTGATCTTACGATCGGTGCGCATGCACTGACGACCTAAGATCAAGAGCTCTGTGAAGGGTGGTGTGTGTCCCTGTTACATAGGGACACGCGATGGCATGGATCTTGGGCAGTCCTTTGAATGTAGGGATGTCAATAGTATTTATTGTTCGATCCGTGTTCGCGCGGGTATCGAAGATACCATTATTTATTTATTTGAAATGGTTTTAGAAATCACGTACATATAAATAGTATACATAATAAAATATTTGTGCCGTCTTTTACAATCGAATAATGCATATCATTACATTACATAATGATTTAAGTAACTACATGTGAAATATACATTTATGATTCGTCAACGATTTAATGGAAATTTAAGGTAATAAACCGTTTTTTCGTGCTTCCGCGTTTGGTTAAAACGTTTAATTAAATATAGTATAATGAAATATTCCTAAAAAAAGTTGTATTCTTTGCTTAGTTTTATGAACTTGGTAAAAAATCATTTATATGACATTTAATTTTTTAGATAACTCAATAATAAACTTTAATAAACATCAAATAATAATTAAATATTAAGAAACGTGAAATTTTATTTGTTTATGTATTAGCTCCGTATTTATTTTCAACATAAGTCAAAAAATAGTTATTGTAGAGACCTTCCATTTTTACAAAATAGTAGAATCATTTTTTTTTATGTCTTATATAATTTTTAATGTAATTTCTTCTTATGTCTCCCTAATTAAAATAGTGATTTTTATACATATAAACATATATACATATAAAGATTAAATGTTTGAACATGGCAAATAGATTCTAAATTTATCATTTCAACGACTACTATGCATCTTCACAATATTTTAACAAATACCAAATTATTGTATGAGACATATTTTATCTCCATCTTACAAACGTACAAAGTAAAAAATATGTAATTAGTACAACCAATTTTGTGTTGACAATTTTGATATTAATGTTGACTGACGTATTATCAAACTAAAAGTAAAGAACATTGTCTGTGTCTTATAACAGAGGATTTACTGAATGCAGATTCAAGGGCGTATTTGAGGGGGAGACAAAAAGGGCATTCGCCCCCCCCCCCATGGCTCGTATTTTTTTTTAATGCAATAAATTTATTTCTTTATTTAAAAAATGTACTGTATAAATAATTAAGGATATAAATTACTAGTTCATCATTATAATATGTCATCATTATAATAGGAACATATGCTGTAGGTAATGAACTGTAAATTATTTTTAAGTTTGTATTGAAGAAAAATTAGTTT